GGGTTCTATAGCCTTGGATGGCAACTGGTCTACTGCAGAAAGAAATGGCGACTCGCTGCGGGAAAAAAATCTGCCTAGTCAGTCATGTATCGAAAGATACATGATCACCTAAGCGTGTATCACGCATGGCACACAACTGACTGACTTTCTAGTCAAATCCATTAGATTCACTTACGTGCTCATACCCTTGGGAAAGCTATGGATCCTCCTCTTCTTCTCTCCACCCCAGCTATGAGTAAATAGCAGGACAGACTGGGTTCTCTAGCCTTGGATGGCAACTTGTCTAGGGGAAGGACAACTCTGAATTCAAAACCTGTGGAGGGTCATTTGCCATGGGGTTCCCAAAAAGTGTGGATGATTCTGCATGCTACCTTCACGACTATAATCAAATCTCATGTGCTTGTGTCGGGCTGTCAGTTTCCTACGAATTGATCTGCTTGACACTCATACGTCGAATTCGACGGGACAGTCGATTATATATATATATATATATATATATATATATATATTATATTGTGAAATGTCTAGACTTAACTAATAGTTTTAAATAGATTTTTTGATTTTTTTTTTAAATATTTAGATATTACAATAACTTGGTTACCTCCCTTGACGTTTACACGTGAGCAAACGTTATTATGCTAATGTCTAAAGTACTCGGAATAAAATGAATATGCATTAATATAGTAATTTTATTTCTTCCTTTAATAAGGAAACTAAGAAACTTGTCCGTAATTACAAGAGGATAATATTAAAAAACTTGTCTAAATTATTTAATGAGACTTGTCTTATTGAAAACACAACGCCAAAATATACCAATATATATGTGTGTGTGTGTGTGTGTGTGTGTGTGTGTGTGTGTGTGTGTGTGTGTGTGTGTGTGTGTGAAAAGTGTATATAAATAAATATATATATGTATAATTATTTATATATTATATGCGCGGTACTTATTAGAAAGCGCTCAATATCAGAGATAGAGCTAACATATTTGGTTGGATAGATGTGCGTATGTATAGACATAAAACCACCCGTATACATATATGTGTCATAGCCGAAACTGCCCACATATGTTTATATATGTATGAGTCCCGACGGACGACCAAGTATGTATATGTGTCTGCATACATCGATGTTTGCGTTAGTACGATGAATGACAAAACGACGAAATTTCCTCCACCACTTCCACAATAACACCAATACACACAATCTACATAAACCCAATTTTTTAAAACATTAATCAGTTTGTCTAACGATCGCTAAAGCGTGAAACCCAGGGTCACAAACTCACATCTATCCAAATATAAATATATATATATATATATATATATATGTGTGTGTGTGTGTGTGTGTGTGTGTGTGTGTATATAAATATAAATAAATATATATATGTGAAAAGCTCTCAATATCAGAGATAGAGCTAAATATTTGGTTGGATAGATAACCCTGGGTTTCACGCTTTATCAGACAATATTTTTTTTTAAAAATTATTGCGTATAATGGAAGTGGTTTAACGCAAACATCGATGTATGCAGCCACATATACATACTTAGTCGTCTGTCGGGACTCATACAATATAAACCTAAAGGCAGTTTCGGATATGACATATGTTTATATATAATGTTGAAATGTTGAAATTTAAAGATTGGAAGTGTGGCGGAGACCTACCGGACACTATTCGTAACATACTTGCTGTCAATACTATTATAATAGCATCATCTACATGCAAAAAAGGCTAAAAATGGAAGCCTTATTAATAAAAAAAAAAAAACAAAACAACACTTAATAAATAACTTTGAACATGGATAAATATAATGTTTTTGAAAAATGAGCATTTTATAAATGTACAACAAACTATTTCTTATTTTAACAGTTAAAATATAATCAAAAAAAAATAAAAAAACATTCGGACAGTTTTATATAATTAATCATCCGAAAAGAAAAAAAAAATTATTAGATCGCATGAGAAATTGTATAAAAAAACTAAATAAAAGCACCTTGTCAGTCGTTTTCAATAAAATGTGCATATACAGGGTGTCCATAAAGTTCGTGTGCACTTTAAAACATTTATAACTTTATTTATATTTGCGATAGAAATAATCTGTAAAAAAATTTATAAAGTTTAATGTACCTAGTTTTAAGTATAGCTAAAATAACTAATGTGATTTCAGGCATTACTGTAAATCAGTTGGCAAATGTTTTCCGTGAACTGCAAAATCGTATTACCATTTGTATTGCTAATGATGGAGGACATGTGGAAACTTAAATAAAATTTCAATAAAACCTTTAAAAAAAATATAGATTTACTTCTTTCTAATCCTTTTTACAAATTATTTCTATCGCAAATACAAGTAAAGTTATAAATTTTTAAAGTGCTTTGAACTTTATGGACACCCTGTATATATATATATATATATATATATATATATATATATATATATATATATATATATATATGCATTCGGATTCAAAAACTTACAAGTTCAGTTTAATGCGTTGCTAGCTATATGATATAATTACATTTATCCTTATTGATAGTGTTGAACGAACAGAAAGAGTATTTAATATTGGGAGGCAAAGATATTTTTAATCAGCAAGCAACAATGACGAAGCACTAAAAGATAACGGATGCATTTATGCGTTTTTTGGTGTAGTAATTTTTTTCTTCTTCTTTTACGTCAACAGAAAATGATTTTCGTCTTCCCTGAAAATCAGGTTATCTTTCTCTAATGTCACTGTACTGCCAAGATTCTCGCTAATCTGCTACCAAAAATAGAACCTCAGATATTATGGACCTCTGTAATTACACGAGGAAATTGCAACTAAATAATTGCTTCCATCACGATTTTTATTAATTAGGAACTGGTGGTCACGGGTTCGTTCCCTAAACATTACGTCCCGTTATCGCACTGAAAAGAGAAGGGTGCGAAATATGCCTTAATGTCCAACTTGTGCTTTTGGTAACTGATTCGACATATAACGCGACGTGGGGTCATATAAGGTTGAGTGGAATTAGGGTCTCCCATCTCCTTTTAAGACCATGTCACTTCAACAAAGAAAATACATAACTTAGGGATCGATTCTGGGTGTTCTTTTTGACCAGAGAAAGGCTGGTTATAGATAGATAGATAGATAGATAGATAGATAGATAGATAGATCTGAATAAACTGAGATAGATAGATAGATAGATAGATAGATAGATAGATAGATAGATAGATAGATAGATAGATAGATAGATAGATCTGAATAAACTCAGATAGATTTGAATAGACTCAGATAGATAGATAGATAGATAGATAGATAGATAGATAAAGACAGACGTAAATAGAGATTTGGTTAGAGAGATAGGTACACACAAATATATAATAATGATCTGACCTGGCCACTCGGCTTCAGTCCCTTTCCTACCATCATAAAGTTGTCTCCTTGTGGCTTTTCCATAAATACTTTCATGGTAATTGTTTGGATAAACTCTTCTGGAGTTTATGAATTTAACTGTAGTACTAGATTGGCAGTTAGGTCTCATCATTTTACAGTTGAAATGGCTGCATGTAACCGTAAGTTCTATGCTAACAGTTTCTTAATCTGATAAGTATGTTCATGATAACTGACCTGATGAGATAACCGTTTTGGTACCAGAAATGCTCCTGCTGCTGTTAGTAAACAGAACATGTTTAAGTTTGTGGCTCGGCTCCAGGAAGGTTTATAGTCTTGGAAATACTTGTAACAGCGAAGTATTAAGGTTACATCATATAAAGGACTGAATTAGATAGATAGCTAACATTATAGTGTAATGACTCAACATACAAATCCACGTCCCTATCAGTCGAGCCAATTAGGTGACCGTCCAAGGGCGTTGACTTTCATTCGTCTTGAAAGACGCACACATATTTTTCAAGGTATTTTTTAGGAAAAAAAAAAGTGCGTCTTGTAAACCGGAAAATACGGTAATTTTTTTTCTCTGTAACCGTTAACATGTGATTACTTATTTTAAAAAAATGGCGGTCACTATTCTAATTTAACGGACCTTTGCGCATAGCCTTTCTACATCTATTTTAATACTGATGTAAATATGATAATGTTACTCAGGTCAGCATTAGCGTTTATTTCCGCATCTATTTTATGTACAGTCATTAAAATACGCGTGAGTCACTCTGAAAAGAAACCCATTTCAATCTGTTTAGTCCGCTCTCACTATCTAAGCTCGCTCTCACTGTCTATCACATTCTCTGTCTCTCGATCAACCTTTCTCTGTCTTTTTTTTTAACGCCGTATTTATAAACACTGAATCATCTCTGTGCGTATAGCCATAATGTTATTTGTGTTCTACCAAATGCATCGCCAAATGCGGTTGTCAATAAAAAAATAAATAAATTTAATTCCACTAATTGCTATACAAATGTGCGAGTTCCCAAGCGCTTGTGTGGATGTCACATAAATACGCATGCGTGTACAGATAGCATGGAAACGCGCATGCGTATGTGGCTGGTAGAACACTTTTACGCGCTGCTCTACGCTTTTGCACGTTTATCTAGCTAGTTGTGCTCGCGTGTCGATGTGTGCGCGAAGGGGCTTCTAGAGCAGACGAGCATTTTTTTTAATTGCTTAAAAGCATCAACGAATGACTAAGGCTTACTTATTTATTGAATTTATTTTGATATCAAATGGAGTTTATGTTTTACTTTCATTGTTACTGACTTACTTTTAGCCATTCAGAGATCGAATACATTAATGCCAGTATATTGTCAGTGTCTCTGAAAAGAGTCATTGACATTACAAATTTTATTCCTACAGTTGCAGTAGTTTTTTTTTTTTTTTTTTTTTTTTTTTTTAAGTGTGGACATCATTGCCTCAACGTTTATACCAATCAGGCCCTCAAACTCTGTCTGATGTCTAGTCCATGTCAAAATGGGGAAACCCCCTTTTTAAATAAAACAAGAAAAACACATGCTGGAAATGGTGGCAGAGTACTATATACCATCTGGACCAATCCCTTTCTACAAGGCTGACGGCCATGTCACGTCGAAACATCGGTTCCCCCCCCCGTACTGAAGTTAAGCAACGTCGAGCTTGGTCAGTACCTAGATGGGTGACCGCTTGAGAATACCAGGTGCTTTAAGCTTGGATATGGATACTGGATATGAATTGTTCATCGAAGAGTTCAATTCCCGTTGGGTTCGTTATATACACCTACGCTTAAATACTCTTCGGTAAGATATTACTACACCTTTTCTTTCCTCCCCAGCTAGACCTTAAGACATGTATTACTAAAATCATTACTATAGGTACCTCGACTTTTTCGTTAAAAAAGACCATACCATGATGAAAAAAGGCCCCAAACTTGATAAAAACAAAGTTTTATCGTCAAAATGTTTATATTATTATTATTAAGAAGAAAGACCTAAATATTTTGTTATTATTTTATTAAATTCTTTAATCCTTTCTAGCACGTTCGATATTTTGGTTAAATTTTTTTTTTTTTTTTTTTTGGTGGGGGAGGGTGCGTCAGCGGTGGGCCAAAGATTACTATAGGTATTTTAGCATATTTTTCCTTTAAAAAAAACACATTGATTTGGAAATTCGTGCAAAAATCAAGTAATTGTCGGATTTAATGAAACTTTCAGGACTTATTTACAAATAAATTAAATTATTTTGGAATTTTTTTTTTAGAAAATCTTGGTAAAAAATAATATTTTCTTTTTTACATGTCCGCCACCCCAACTTACATAATTTTATGAAATTTCGAGAAATTAAATTTTGATCGCAAAATGTTTTTATTGGTTAAAAGCAGGACCCCCTGGAGAATGTAAATCACCTTTTTTTTAAGCAGTTACTGATTTCCCGAAAATCTGCACCGAATCGTAAAATATAAAATGCAATAAAACTATGACATTGTTTAATTAGGAAAGCTTTTAATTGTTTTTATAAATAAGATATATTAAGGACGCTATTGTCTTAAAAAAATCATCAATTTTACAAGAATTGTTTTCATATTTTTTTAAATTTTAATTATAATAATTTATAAAGTTTTAAATCTTTTAAATTACTGCATTAATTTTTCGCGATAAATGATATTCTTATTAAGTAAAAACTATATTTTTATGTGCATAAACGTTCCCATTTTGTAAGTATGGGCGACCATACACGACATTATCAGAAAATAAGAGCGATGAATTTAGTAAATTTAAAGTCAACATTCCGAAAATTAGATTGCGGAGAATATTTTAAAAAAACATGGCTACAGTCAGTTAAAAATACAGCTACTGTTTAGTTTAAAAATGTATTTCTGCGTTATTGTAAATTTAAAGTAAATAATATTTGTCTCAAATCCGTTTAATTATACTTTAAATCAATATTCCTCAAATAAATTTTCAGAAAGTATATTTTATTTTTGGAAGGTTTTTTTCTTTTAATAAAGAGAATTACATTGCGATAAAAAAGGGCGCAAATCAGTTATATTAGCAAAAGAATAACCCCCATTCAGTCAATTTAAATTAGTTTTAATTTGAAATACAACAAAGTATTTTGCTTATTGGAAATATTAAATTTAATCTATTAACTTGGAATTAAAACTAAAATAAAAGCGCCAAGAAAGATTCTTCATTTAAAAATCATTTCGTTTTTTTTTTCGAGGTATCTACATTCTTATCTCCCAAAAAATAAAATAAAATTGTGTTCAAAATATTTAGATTACGACATTAAATAACCCATAGAGGTATTGATATTGCTAAACAAATCTGCAACCAACAATACAAATCAACCAACCAACAATACATTTTATCATATTTACAATGCATTCAAAAAATTGACCAATAAAATGCATACAAAATATTTAGATTACGACATTAAAATAGTTGAGGTATTGATATGCTGCTAAACAAAATCAACCAACCAACAATACATATTTATTCAAAAATATTTTATTTGAAGGCATACAATTTCATTCAAAATATATTTAGTTAAAATTGCATACAAAATATTTAGATTACGACATTAAATAACCCATAGAGGTATTGATATGCTGCTAAACAAAATCAACCAACCAACAATACATATTTATAGTAAAATGACCAACAATACATTTTATCTGTAGTTGACAATTATTCAAAATATATTTAGTTGTTCATAAAAATACAAAATATTTAGATTTCGGCATTAAATAACCCATAAAATATGTAAACAAAATTCAACCAAAAATATTTATAGTAATGATCAACAATTACATTTTATCTGTAGTTGAAGGCATACAATTGCGTTCAAAATATATTTATTAAATAAAATTGTGTTCAAAATATTTAGAGATGTTGATATGCCGCTAAACAAAATCAACCAACCAACAATACATATTTATAGTAAAATGACCGACAATACATTTTATCTCTAGTTGAAGGCATACAATTGCATTCAAAATATATTTAGTTGAAGCCATAAAATTGTGTTCAAAATATTTGAATTTCGACCCACAGAGATGTTGATATGCCGCTAAACAAAAAAAAAATACAATCAACCAACATGAAAGAGAAACGTGTCTTTTGAGTCAAACGCACCTCAAAATGCGGATGCTCGCAAATCTTGACGAAGGCCAGAGTTGGCTTTCCGACGATGTCGGCGTTAGCATCTGTTCTTTATCCGGAGCGGCCTTCTTAGTGGCAATGCGGAACACGTATTTGCCATTCACCCTCTACACTAGTTGCCGCAGTAGTGACTACGTTGCTTATATAGATTCACGAGAGAAATACACCGTAGCAAATGAAACTCGCCCTGTATCTATTTAAAAATGCTTTATTAAAAACAAAAACAACCCCCCACCCAGCCATCTTCTATGTGTACACTTCGGAAAGAGGGGGAAGATGCGAGAGAGCTAGAGAAAGTCTGGGGTTGGAGGGGGGATCGCATTTGGCGTAAGCCTCAGTCGATGTCAATAAACGCGAAAGGAAACAAAAGAAAAGTAGATTAAAAGTCGAACCTGTTTCCTAGTCCGTATTATTTGCTCGGATTAACTTAATCCTCTGGATTTAAAACCTCAAGTAGAACGAGAAAGCACATGCCACGCGACAGTTGGTTTTTAGTGGTTACACAAATAAATAAATACATCTTTGTTGCTGTTGTTATTATTATTATGTTATATCGCCATTTTTATTATAATATTATTATTATCATTATTTTCATTATCATTTTTATCTTTATTATTATCAAGATTCTGTCATTACTATTAACATTAATAATTAAAATTTAATTAAAAATCTAATTAATTATTAGAGTTTGATTATCATTATTATGATCATTGTCATTATTTCATCATTATTTCCATTTTCTCTATCATTATTTTCATTGTCATTTAATGTTTATTATATTATCATTAATATTATTATCATTATCACTATTATTATTATCATTATTTTATCATTATCATTTTCTCTATCATTATTTTCATTGTCAATTTTATGTTTATTATCATTATCACTATTATTATCATTTTCTTTATCATTATTGTCATTGTCATTTTTATTTTACTATTATCATTATTATTATTATCATTATCACTATTATTATTATCATTATTATCATTATCATTTTCTCTATCATTATTTTCATTATCACTATTATTATTATCATTTGTTATCATTATTGTCATTGTCATTTTATTTTACTATTATCATTATTATTATTATCATTATCACTATTATTATTATATTATTATCATTATCATTTTCTCTATCATTATTTTCATTATCACTATTATTATTATCATTTTGTTATCATTATTGTCATTGTCATTTTTATTTTACTATTATCATTATCATTTTTTCACTATTATTTTATCTATTATCATTATTATTATTATTATCATTTGTTATCATTATCATCATCATTTTTATCATTATTTTATCATTATCATGATTTTATCATTCATATATATTATTACCTTTATCCTCATATTTGTTTGATCATTATCATCAATATATTCATTATTATAAGTTTTATTATTATCATTTATTTATTCTGTTATCATTATTATTACCTTTTCATTAACATAATTGTTATTATAATTATTATTTTCCTCATTATATGCATTACAATATTTATCTATATTTCTGAGATGAGCTATTGTAACTATTTACACGATATACATCTTTCAAGCTGTTGTGCCTATCTTTATTGCCATATTCACGTTTCGGCCGTTATACGCTCAGGCCTTCTTCGGATGATATACAGTGGAATTACATTATTTAGTTCACGGGAGTAGATTGTATTAATTCCACGTGCCATGCCATTTTGGACGCCTCAGTTTCAGTTTATGCCATCCTACACATCTACAAATCTACCATCCGTCCATGCATTGAATACTGTTGCCATATATGGTCTGATGTCCCTGCTGTTCATCTCAAGGTTCACGACAAAATCCAAAGACGGATATGCAATGTGTCTCAAATCCAGTCGCTTTCTCACAGACGTGCTATAGCTTCCCTCTGTCTTTTCTACAAATATTTTCATTGTAATTGCTCTGACGAGCTATTTTCACTGGCACCCAAACTGCAAGAATTTAAGCATGCTACTAGGTTGGCATCTCGGTCCTACCCTTTTACTGTTGAAACAGTTAAATGTAAACGTCTCTTCTACGCCAACAGATTCTTCTCTTGCACTTCCCGACAATGAAACTCCCTTCCTCTTACTTGCTTCCCTGATAGAAAAAATGAAAAAAAAAATGAAATGTAATCGACATGTTCTGTTGCCTTGATCCCCGTTCTTTATTTTATCCTTTCCTCAATATCCACCCCTCATATCCAGTCTTTTATCTTACATTCAATCTCAGACACTACTACTACTACTACTGCTGCTGCTGCTGCTAGTGACACGCCCGCCCTGCTTGGGATGAAATGCTTTTAAAATATACCTTTTAGTAACTCAACTCTCCAAGTTTTTGTTCCATCTGCTGTGATCAGGTATTGAACTCGCAACCCTTTAGGTCAAGTCACTTTTTTGATTACTCAACCAACGCTTTTATGTACAGGGGACATCGGTGAGTGAATTTGGGGGGACTTATAAACCTAATAATCTCAGTAAACTTTTGTTTTTACCGGAGCTCATATTACAATTTCTGTTATTGTTGCTTTT